TCTGTTTTCAGAATGGTTATTTTTTTATTAGCCCACCAGGGCACAAGTCACTGACCCACATTGAGGGCAAAAATATAATAATACTATAATATACCTGTAATATGTTAATTCATAGGTCGTGGTTACTCACTTTTTATCTTTTTATTCAATCTTGATTTCTTTTTATTATTATTATTACAGTATTATTGTTATTTTATTTTGGTGTATTATTTAATTCTAAATTTTATTTACTATGAATTTACATATATTATTATATTATTATTTTTTAAATAAAAGAGAATATGATTAAGAATTACATTTTATCTCTTTATATGAAGACATTTGCTGTAATGAATACCAAACACTGACTAAATTATGCAAAGTTCTAGCCGCTAGTAGTCTCACATCCAATTTTACTGCTGCTAAACTTCACAGCAGAGTATTGTATATAAGAATACTTGGTGATTAAATAAAAAGGTTTGCCCTAATAACAATGTAATAATATAAGGATAGCTATATGAACTTCAGGAATTAGCAAATTAATCTTAGTTCTGAGTGATTGTTCATCAATAACTTCATTGAAGTTGATATAAACAACTCAACCTTGAACACCACACTAAATTTTAAGAATGATCAGCCAATTATTTTTAAAATGTAGGTGCACTAGTTCCTTCTACTGTCGCCCTAAGAGTAACGTACCAAATCATTGAATTAAAGGATTGAGTTCACAGTATTGTATGTTAAAATACATTGAAAAACCTAAGCTGCATACATCACTTGGTACATAGATGAACTGTAGACTAGTATTAACTTGCACTAATTACATAGTAGTTAATAAAAAGGAGGGGGGCTAACAACAGCACTCAGTTGAAGCAAAAATGCTAATAAAAGTTATGACCAATTGAATACCTCAACTCCTCACTGTACAGAAGTTCTGCTATAACCGATAATTGTGTTCTTGTAAATATCGTATTATAGAAAATCGCGAATAGAAATAACACAAGAAAATATTAAGAAAAGATAACAAATCCAAAAAATTATAAATAACAACACAAAGGATAAAGTCTAAACAAATGTTACATTCACAATAATAAAACACACAGTAAATGCACTTTACTTGAAGGGAGAAGGATGTTGATAAATGGAGCTTCTTCTATCATCACCATGAATCTACCACCCAGAACGCTCTTGTTGATACTTCTTTAATACATTCACAAAACAAGGTATGCAATACCAACGATCCTACCACGAATATTCCATAACTAACCATTACCTATAAAAATAATGCAAACACCAAAACACCCAACAACAAATTTTTATACCAAACGTTTATTACAATTATTAATGATATTCTTATATTTCAGGGCTTAAGATATATTCACCACTTATACAATTTTAAAATTTTATATTATATCCATGTTAATGGTTGTATTTGGGGGCCCTGGAAACGAATAACCTATAACGAACTAATGCTATAACCTAACAAGGTCTAGAACATTAGATTCAAACAACCCACACCACAAAAAAAAAAAAAAAAAAACAAACAACAAACAAAACCTCCCAACAAAAATAAACGCTAAGCAACCAAACATCAAAACGGAAGAAGAACCACTACCACAAACAAACACCACTTTACCTAAAATTTATGAAATGAGTTGAAGTAACACCAGCATCAACAAGATCTTATTGATCACCTGTGGGTAGTTCTCATATCTGGTACAGCAACATTCTCCCAGATCCCGTAGTTCCAGCAACATTCTCCCAGATCCCGTAGTTCCAGCAACAGTCTCCCAGATCTTGTAGTTACAGGAACATACTCCCAGATCTACATAATTCAAGTAAACTAACCGGCAACTGGTTTCTCCGTCAATCATTTGGAATGGAAAAAAATCGTCGAATGGCAATTACTTTAAGTAAACCTTGAAACATTTAAAAACTTTTGATTGTGAATAGAATTAAAATATTCACCTCCCAGCACGGGACACAAACTCTCCCACCTGCACGGGACACTTTAAACCAACCCGCCAGCACGGGACCAGTGAGGATTCGAGAACGAGTGCAAGGCAAAAATAAAGGCCATATTTCTTGTAACCGATCGCCCAAGCGGCTAACGAGCCGATCAGTGGTAAAGAGAATAAGTTTGATTACGCGAACATTTTAGTAATCTCACGCAACAGATGGGAGCACCATCGTTTATCTTATATAGCATATCCCTGAGAAAACTAAGTTAAATACAGAAATTATACAGGTATTTTGTTTTTAGCAAATAGGAACTAAATACATGTTATCCAACAATAAAAAGTTAGTCGGGTGGAATAGTTGAATATATAAACATTTCGATATACGATACCTTTCATTCAGCCTTCCTAAAGAAGCATAAAGAAGCAACAGAGCTGAATGAAATGAGGAAAATAAACGGTATTATTGCCTTTTGAACCACATTTTTATCTTGTGCATTCACCTGAGGTATGGTTAGGGCCTTACCCTACCTACCATTCGGACAATGTTAGGTTTAGTTTTGTTTAGTAAATTACGTGGTCGAGAAATAGTTCCTTAGCAGTTAGTCTGGTGTGGAGGCAGCCTCAGTAAGTTAGCTTATTTAGAAGGGTGTAGGATCATGATTTACGCCAGAAATGGGTATTCGAAAGTTTGCCCTTAATCAGACCTTTGTGTGTTCATATTCTTGGCCCAAAATAGGGTGATTGGAATTGCAATTTTTCACAACCATAGAATCTAGAATTTTTTATTTGTGTAACATTCTTAAAAAGCTATTACGAAACTACCATTTTCGTCGCAAATGCATAGTAAAGTCGGAAATTAAATTTATTTACGCAAGCACGGTTATAGTAGGCCTATTAAAACTCTAGTTTTAATAACTAGATTTGGAGCCAAACGCTCTATTTTTACAAATCAAAGAAGTTCAAAATTGATTGATACCCTTAAAACACAAAAACATATCCTTGTTGAAAGCGGTGCTTGAAAATGCAATTGTACCCAATAAAATAATGAATAATCCTTGCAATAGTTTAATTATATCACTTTAATGACCCCTTCCCCTCCTCGCAGATTGAAAAGTGATTAAAAGTTGCACAACTGTGTAAACTAGTCCCTCTCAAAACTCGAGTTCTATGCAGAGAACACTTTACCCCGGATTCATTCAAACCACGCAGTTCTCCAAAACAAACATTTGAATGTTTTTCATGTGTTAATAACTGTGCTTGTGCGACACTTAAATAAAAATATTCGTAAGCAAACTAATTTGTCAGTATAAAAGGGACAAGTTTTCAGATTATGTACTTTGAATGATAGTAAACAAGATGCATTAGTAATAATAACTGAAAAAACAACCTAATGTTGACCCACAAATACAGTATATACCATGCAAACAAATCACTTATGTATATGGGAGTGAAGTAACACTACAATATGTAAATAATTTACGTGAGATTGTTTTGCCTGAGATTGATTTCCAGCATGCCATATGGTATAGTGCACCGAATTGCAATATCCTAATATCATTAACTGGGTAAGTATTAATAGTAAATGAAAAGTCTCATACTGAAGGCAGTTCAGGGATATCGGCAAGGAATAGGGTCACGAGTTTTAAAGCAGTTACTCCAGAGTCGTTTTACAATTTAGTACCTTTATCACCAACTAGATGGTGGGGTTTACCCGGGGTAAAAATTATACTGATAAGGGGTAAAAGGTCACCCAACAGATTACGCCCCAGCTACTCTTGAAGAGCGCCGCGCTTTCCCCATTCCTTAACCCTCATTGCAAGGGACAACGAATAAGCTATAGCACTTTTATAACTCGTGGTGTTCTCCCGACACCAGTAAAGTGACCTAAGTGTAAGAACGCCGTCAACACCAACGTATAAGGCATTGTGTTATCTCGTTCCTCGTACTCCGTTAAGCGAGAACCGGCGTCAGCAACAAACTAATCTCAGAATCCAACGATGAACCAGAACCAGGCCAATAAAGAAAGCAATTCCACCATATGGGGAGTTAGGTCAGGTTCATATGCCTGTTTCTATTTTTTTTATTTTGTATTCGCTTGGCCATAATTTTTGTCGGCAAACGCCCCACCCAAAACCCCCCGGGGATAACTAAAAAACGGGCAATTTCCAACAGAAATCAAGGTCAAAACCAATAAAAAAAATACACTAGAAAAAAAACTACTTTCTAACAGTTATGTGCACTGATGTAAATTTACCC